AGAGAGAGAGAGAGAGAGAGAGAGAGAGATGGGGGAGTCGATGAGGATTAGGAGGAAGTCGGTGACTGGGGGGGAGGTTAAAGGTTCATCATGCTTTTTTGTTTTTTTCTTCTCTATTTTTTTTCCGTATGTGTGTGTGAGAGAGATAGATAGACGGGGGAAAGGAGGGTGAGGGGAAGCCGGCGAGGTGGTGAGTGGTATAGCCGCGCCAAGTGCCAGGATGTCTTTTTTATTTTGTCTTTTGTCTTTTGATTTTTTTTTTTTTTTTATTTTTTTTTTGTGTGTGTGTGTGTGAGAGAGAGAGAGAGAAGGGGGGGGACTGTGCCAAGCTGTCCGTTATGTGACTCTGACACGTGCTACTTCGTTTCTTCTTTTCGTTTTGCCTTCCCGCAAATGCTCCAAGATGCTCTCATGTCAATGCTACTCCCGAGAAGTCCCCCACCCGAAGAGCAACTGCCAAGCAGATTGAATGCTGATTGTTTCATTCATATAATGCAAAACCTGCGTAACATCAGTGTCACTCCTATAGTTGGAGCCGACTTCCTTCAACTTCCCCAGGCCAATCATCAATGACATCATCTGAGCCCACCAAAGTGAGACTCACCCGCACACGCATGCACTTGCGCACATAGCATAAAAACTCAACAAGTAAGCACGGGGCATGCATACATGCAAGATGGGTTGATCACAAACATATCCAGAGAACACAGCAAACAAAGTCTGAATCTGAATCTTTAGCTGCAAAAACATCAACGGGACAATGGACAGGATTTTCTCAGAAAAGTGCAGAGTTCTTGCACATCACAAAACAAAAACGATGCGGCGAAGGTAATGGCTCCCCAAACAAAACACTCAAAGATAAAGGGAAAAAAAGGCTCGGCGGCATATGATAGGGGAGTTCCTTATGCTTTTTCTTTCTTTTGTGCTTTTTTTCCTTTTCTGTTTTTGCGGGCGAAGCCGCAACAGGTCATCTAGTTGCGATAAAGGAGTTTGCTCTGATACCAAATTGCAATGAACCCAGTCAGAAAGATACTCATCAGACGTTGAAGTTCCAGTAGTCTCAGATCAATACAAAGTCTCCAGTTAACGAGGAAATGATATCTGCAATAGTATCTCGTTACCAATAGACGAAGAGAGTGGAGGGAGGATAGACAAGGGAGGAGACAATGAAGACAGCCAGCAGCGAGCAATATCAACGTCAGCCTCAGGTAAGTATCCCATTCCCAATCATCCACAGATCCCGACCTTCCTCCTTGTTGCAACCAGCCACCTCATGTAGACAATGGGGCCAATGCCACATCAGCAGTACGACATAAACAGGTGGTCTGTGCCACATCAGTAATGTAGACAAGTGACCTGTGCCACATCAGCAATGTAGACAAGTGGCCTGCGCCACATCAGCAATGTGGACAAATGGTCAGCACCACATTAGCAATGTAGACAAGTGGCCTACGCCACATCAGCAATGTAGACAAGTGGCCTGCGCCACATCAGCAATGTAGACGAGTGGCCAGCGCCACATCAGCCTTGAAGACAGGTGGCAGCTCCACATCAGCAATGCCTGGCGCACAACACAGAAAGCGCCAGAAGGTCAACATAAGACGGCTTTCTGGACGTCTTATGTTGATCTTCAGGAGCCCCTCCCTTTGTAACCTTGGACGAGGCTGTCTGGCCTCAGGTCCCCTTCCCACAGTCGTACAGATTGTCTCACAGCCGAGGGCCTGGATCGTGTGCAGTTGCAGAACTCCCCTTCGCCCTGATGCTGTCTGGGTATCTGCATACAAACAAATGTGTGTGTCTGACTGGCGTGCTGGGCTGGGTACACTTTGACTTTGACTGTTGGGTAGTCTGACAGTTGACTTCGTCAACTGTATCTCGTCCAGGCCCTGAGTCTTTACGTGGGGTGTGTTTCCCCCCTTTTGGCCTGGGTCTGAGTGCGGCCTGTGGCCCTCAGACTTTCCAGGAGGCATACAGCATGGGTTATTGCACTTTATTCTCTCCTGGTCTAAATGCACTTCTTCTTGAGTTGCAACGTATGGCGTTGTATCAAAATTGTCTTTCATTATGAATTGAGCAAGATCAAAGTGGATCTTAGACTGTGATGAGTGGTTGTGATGCAAGAGGAGGGGTAACTGAGAGTGTAGTCACACCCACGATTCAAAGTCTACATTCTTGATTGTAGTTTGCATTGTATGAACGTGAATCTGAAGTGCACGTGTGCATTCTATGCATAGAGGTTATGTGTTGCCTTAACTTTTTGGAACGAATGATGTCATCCCTTGAACCCTTTCCCTGATTATCGCGGCAATTATATGACTCTTATGTGTGTACAGGAACGAGCTTGAGAAAGAACAAGAAGGATATGACGTTATTATAGGAGACCTTGCAGACCCTGTTGCAGGTGGCCCCTGTTATCAGTTATACACTAAGGTAAACCGTAAATGTCCAATTCATGTTGCTCATTTCCTTCTTGGTGCAGGAACTGGCACTTGGCTACCTGTTATGTTCATTTCTTGAAGTGCAGCATTTCGACCCTGTGAATTGACATACATGAACCTGAGAACTGCAGCTTGTGTACTTACCTGTTGGTGCATAAATCAGCTGGGACAAGAGAGGATGCTCCTAGAAGAATACCAGCAGCAACTCCATGTTTTTCTCACACACAATGTTTGAAGTTTGAACCAGAGCAAAGCAGAAGATGTCACAGTAATCTGTGTGACAAGTGCATATATTGGGAGCATCCTCAGAGCTAGGCGGTCTCCGGGGTAGATCCGGAATAAGCTGGTATCAAAGAGTAGTAGGGGAAAATGCCTGAGGGGCAGTGACGCATGGTTGACACTTGGCATCCCTCCCTTTGAGTGGTGCCAACCGGGCTATGGTGCTCTGGACCTTGACACCAGACCAATCTAGACGGACGGCCGTCTGGTTGGATCCGGACGTTCGGTTATTCGGACAAGAATCGGAACATTCGGACATCCGGAACCAGGCGATCTGGATGTCTGGAAATTTGGTCTCGATTATAGATATATAAAAAACTGTTTTCAAACTGTTCTTCAACGTTTATGTGACCTGCAATGTACTGTTTTCCACATCATATTGGATGTACATGGAAGTACACTCAAGTAGATTATCAAGTGTAAGTGTAATTGGTTGTGCTCAGCAACTAGTACCAGTTCACTATTTGATGTTAGTTCATACTACTCACATCATATTCACAACATGACAGTATTCAGAGTCACCTTCGTAAGAGTCTGAGAGAGATGATGGCCGTAGCATTCTGACATCAAACAGCTTAGAAGAGTTGTAAAGAAAAATAAAAAGTAAAAAAATAAACTGCAATGAGCCAAGTACTCGTCAAGTTGAACTTCGCATACATCAACGAACATTCACATGAGAGTTCACACGTGACAAGCCAAATTGAGATACAATCAACACTTGAAGATGTCGTCTCCAATATTATTATCAATATACGAGAATGTTTGTCTCCAGCGGCTCTGCCGCACACACACACACAACGGTCTCAACCAGATAGCGGCTACGGCTTCTCCCTTCTCTCTCTCTCTCTCTCTCTCTCTCTCTCTCTCTCTCTCTCTCTCTCTCTCTCTCTCTCTCTCTCTCTCTCTGTGTGACTTGACTCGCTCTGCCTCACTCTCTCTCTCCACCCTGGATACACCCACTCAGGTCGCTCACACCTCGGTGGCTATGGCGGCCGTCCTCCTGCTCTACATCTAGCCTAGTCATGGAGTAGCTCTCAAGCGCCCTCTTCTTCTTCAGGCGCAGAGTGCCCAAGCTGCCTTAACGCACAAGCAGCAGCAGCGCTTCCGCATCTCGCAACTGAACAAGTGATGAGCTGCTGCACTGTAGCAACTGAATATAGGACTTGGCTTGGCTTGGCTTGGCCTGCTTCAAACCGGTACCGGTCGTCCGCGGCCTGTCTGCTGCAAACATTTTGTCGGTCCGGTAGCTTCCGGACTTTCCTGGGACATGCTGCAAAATTGGACTTATGACTGTCGGGCTGGACTGGACGCTTCTAGACTTTTCTTGCCGGGTACCGGACGGACTCCTACCGATCTACGACGCTTCGGTACCAACACCTACCGACCTACGACGCTTCGGCCTCTGGACCCTACGGCCTACCCTACGGGATGGCCCTGGGACTTGGGACTTGTCGGGACCCTGGGACCAGGACTGGGTGTCTGCAGCGCGAATCCTTTCACTCCCACCGGCCTGATTTCGAGGTTCTCCGAGAAAATCTCAACTTTATCTATCATACACGTTCATTCCTCATCGGGCCCTCTCATAGAAAGAGAATGTGAGGGGGCGTCTGTATTAGTTCTTCCTTGGGGAACCAGCTGTCTTCGCTGGGCTCCTGGTAGGCAAACCTGACCCTATATTGCCGTTGTGGCCTTCCTCTGCGACCTGTGTGGAAAGTATCTTGGGCCACTATTCGGTCTACATCACAACCTCCATCCGTATCTGGTGGAATCATGGAACGTTGGGAGGGAAACTGGTTGTTTGTAATACAGGGAAGCAACTTAAATGCGTGGAATACCGGGTACGTGTGCAGGTGGGTGGAATCTCGATCGTGTAGGATGGACCATCCGCCTCTCCTTTGACATCTAAGACTTGCCATGGCCCCCTATATGCAGGTGACAGTTTCTGCGAAATTCCTTCTTCAGGAACGAACTCCTTAGACTTAACCCATACCAAGTCACCTACTGCAAACTGCGATGGTCATTGGTGTTTGTTAGCTTGTTCTACCATCTGGTGCTGGGCCTTAAGGAGGCTCCTTTCGACCTGCTCTAGATCCTTCTTGTATTGAATGGCAAACTCCCTTGTACCAGGTGGCAGTCTTTGAATCTGATCGGGATTCAAGCAGTCAATCGGGCGTCGGGACTTGGGGTTGCCAACCTCTGTGCAGTTCGTTAGGGGTGCGTGCAGTGGCCAAGTGCACCGAGTTGTTGTACGCAGACTGCACTTTGGGAGGATGTTTCTCCGAGTCGATCTGGTTGGGCCTAACGTACATGCGTAGCACTTGCTGGAGTAGTTTGCTCATCTGCTCGGTCTGGCCATTGGTCTCCGGGTGTCGACCGGAAGACATGGTCAGCTTTGATTCATAGACTTTCATAACCATTGCCAGTGCTAGTCCGTGAATCTGCTATCTCTATCTACAACAACCGTCAGTTGACTCTTCCCGTTCTTGCCTCAGCTGGCAGCGGAATGAAAACGGCAAATTTACTAAATCTATCTACAACAACCATCAGTTGACCCTTCCCGTTCTTGCTTTTAATCTTCGTGTCCATGAAGTCGATTGACACGGATTCACCAGGACCGGATGGGACAGGTAGCGGCCTCAATACGCCAAGTGGGGACTGTGTGGAACTTTTGTTCCGTTGACACACTTGACATCCCTGGATATAGGCAATGTAGTCGTGCTTCATGCCGACCCAGGTGTAGGACCGGAGGAGATTAGCATAGGTTTTCCTCCAACCGAAGTGGCCCTCAGTGTCATGACACTCTCCCAGGATCAGACTTTTGACCGTATAGTTGTTCGGGATGCACAGTATGTCAAACCTGTCTGTCTTTTCGAACACTAGTTCGTCGGTTACTCTGTAGTCCGGGACTTCGTGTGGCGCAGTCTGCACCCTTTTTATTAGTTCGCTGTAAACGGGATCGTCAGTGTACGCAGCCTTGATCTGCTGCTGTTGCTTGGTGCCTGCATCTAGGTAAATGACGATGGCACTGAAGAAGTCTGCGGGTCTACTCAGCGTGTCATCGACGACATTTTACTTGCCTTTGACTGGTTTCAATTCAAAGTCAAACTGTTAGATTTCCCGAGCCCATCTAGTTAACTTAGGGGTCATCCGGGCTTGGGTTCTTAACCGGCCCCTACGCCGGTCAAAGTAGGCTTTAAAACGTCTTCCTAGGAGATAATGTCGCCGGTGGTTCAATGCTTCTCTCAAGGCAAAAAGCTCGCGTTCGCACGTCGTTGCAATGACCTTCTCACTAGGTAAGCTACAAGACATGAATTCTACGGTCTGTAACCCTCTCCGTCATTCTGTTGGAGTACAGCGCCAATTCCCTACTGGCTCGCATCAGTAGTGACAATATATGGGAGTGATGGGTCTGCAACCTTAAGGACTGGATACTCAATTAGCAACTTCTTCAATTTCTTGAAGGCTGAGGTACAGTCTTTATCCCAATTCCAAACTGTTTCCTTCCTCAGCAGTTTGCGCAGGGGTGCAGCTATCATGGTGAAATTTCATATGAATTTTCGATAGTAATTGGCTAGGCCTAAGAACGACCGCAGTTTAGTCAGTGTGTGCATTGTGGGACAATCCCTGATTGCTGCTATCTTTGCAACTTCCGGTCTAACTCCATCTCCATCTAACACGTGCCCTAAATATAGCACTTGACGCTTTGCCCATTCACACCTCTTCGGGTTCACCTTGAACTTCACAGTTCGCTGCTTTTCTAAGATCAGGTGCGGATGCTGCTGGTGCTCCTCTAGAGTCTTACTAAAAATCAAAATATCATCTTAGATAGACGACTATGAATTTGTCTAAGCACTCACGAAAGATCATTCATGCATCTCTGGAAGGTAGCAGGGGAATTCGTCAGACCAAAGGGCATGACCACAAACTCATAGTGGTCGTAGCGAGTCCTAAAGGCTGTCTTGTGCTGGTCTTCGGGTTGTAACTCTATCTGATGGTAGCCCGACTTCAAGTCAATCTTGGAAAAATACTTGCATCCCCGCACCATATCCAACAGATCATCTATCCTAGGCAAGGGTTCGGCGTTCTTTACCGTGATCACATTCAAACCACTGTAGTCAATGCACATTCGCAGTTCGCCTCCCTTCTTAGGCACGAATAGGACTGGTGCACCATACGGCGATGAACTGGGCTTAATCCACTCTTTCTCTATTAGTTCATCAAGCTGTCTGCGCAACTCATCGAGTTCTTTGGGAGACATTCGGTAGATTGGCCGCTTGGGAGTTTTGCTACCGGGCTCTATCTCTATCTGGTGCTCGATTTCCCTTTCCACTACTCCTGTCGGGGTCTCTCCCACGTCAGCAACTCTTTCAGCAGCTTTTGTTGGCTCCTCCTCCTTTTCCTCACTCACCGGTCTAACATATGCTATGAAGACTTGGTCAACCAGATTGGCTTTGACCACGTGCCTGGCAAACACAGGGGCACTCATACAGAAAAGGGACAAACTGCACTCTACTCCAGACTTGGGTAGCACTGCGTACATGTACACAGGTTGCGCATACATACGTACACGTATTTCTGTACGCGACATGTACATGCGTACATGTACTCCCGTACGTGGGAATATGTAGGGGAAAAAAATAAATAAAAAAAAATTGTTATGCAAAATGATATTTCAAACAACTTTTGCCCGAGACTCATCTCAAAATTCTGCAC